TTGGACCCTGACCCCGCGGATCTGCGTGAGGGGTGGCACCGAATTTCAGAAATGTGGCAAATCCCCTGTGTTTTTTGACCCTGACCCCGCGGATCTGCGTGAGGGGTGGCACCGAATTTCAGGAATGTGGCAAATCCCTTATGTTTTTGGACCCTGACCCCGCGGATCTGCTTGAGGGGTGGCACCGAATTTCAGAAATGTGGCTAATCCCATGTGTTTTTTGACCCTGACCCCGCGGATCTGCGTGAGGGGGCACCGAATTTCAGAAATGTGGCAAATCCCATGTGTTTTTGGACCCTGACCCCACGGATCTGCGTGAGGGGTGTCGATTTCGAGCCCCCCCAGCAATTCAGACAACGCGCCCAGGGGGTGCTAAAAATCCTGTTTGGGCCTCCCCCCCCCTCGCGGTCAATCAACTAGTTACAGTAACCAGCAAGAAGCAGAACTGTAACACTGGAAACTGCGAGCCCGCGCCTCGCAGCCTGGTGGCCCCACAAGGGGGCCGGCGGATTTTGCACCCGCGGACAACTGGACGTATGGTTATGCCGGGACCTTCTATCGAGTACCCGCCATTGGACAGTGCTGACGAACAGTCCCTACACAGAGGGATCTCTATGATTGAGGCTGCTGTCAAGGCCTTCAGCTCAAGTACGTTTGCTGCTGATGGCGATTACGATTCCAGCACGCGCTACGAATGTCACGACCCAGCTCTGTTTTTGCATTGGTGTTGTTCGATGGCTGTTGGCAATGCTTTGGATGCGGAGTTCCGCGTGTTAGGTACACATGGATTGCGCGTCGCAGATTGCTCAGCGTTGCCCAGGCCCCCTCCAGGGCACAACGCAGCCACTTGTATGGCGATAGGAGAAATCGTTGCAACAACCATCGTGGAACAATACATGGCAGCTGCGTAAGTGTCTGAAAGCACTTGTGGAACAGAGAGGAGAGGGAGGGCGAGGAGAGACTAGAAGAGAGAGAAATAGACTGTTGTCCCAGCTCGCGCAGACATGCACCATCGTTATTTCGGTGACCTGGTCCTGCTACACTCATTACACAGTGGTGATGCATCTGGAGCAGCTAGTCTCAGTAGACCCCATCGGCGTGCTCGCGGATCTTCGCCGCGTCGATCCAAGAGGCCCCCAGCTCAAGAAAACAGGGGAGTGCGGGGAAGGGAGGGACAGCGGAAGAGGAGGAAGGAGAAAGCGGAGGAGGTGAGGGGTAAGTAATTGACGCTGCTCTTCGGCGCGCCAAGACAGCGCCCTGGCGCGCACCATAGCAAGTTCTGGTGTTCGAGAATGGCGCGCGAGGTTGCGCGGCGGGGTAACCTATGTACAGGCCCCTTGCTGTTGAGAAGGCGAGCTCGCGAAGGGCATGGGCCAGGCTGACGATTTCAAAGTGAAGCCGAGGCTGCAGAAAAACAATGCTTGGAGGGCAATTGCTGCACCGGCGGTGCTTTCGGATCCTGGCCGCCTGGAGGGCACGTGTTTCTCATCCGTGCAGTTGTGGTGGCCAGGGAGACCCTCTAGGGGGGGCGCTCCGTAGCAAGTATTGCAGGCAGTTCGCGCATTACTACTACCGTGATTGTCGGAGTAGTTTCCCTTTCCCTGGACTTCTTTTCTGGTCAGGGAAGCGAGCTTGGACCTCGCCACAGCGGACCAGGCAGTCCGTATCTTATCGTTGTCATTTGGGAAACCGGTTTCAGTATACATCGACAGTTGCGTTCTTGCATCGTGCCATGTACCCTAATCGATCTGGAGTAATAAAACATGTTGCTGAAGAGGGAGAGAAAGGAGGAGGAACGGGGGTGGCAGGGAATGGGCAGGCGGACCTCTCCGAGCCTCAAGCCGCTGACGATGACGACGACGTCGACGACGACGACGACGACAGCAGCGACAGCAGCGACAGCGACGATTCGATGCGGCCCGATGTCTACCTGGTTGTCTGAAGCAGACTGCCACTCACATGAGCATCGTGCCACCCTGCTGTCCAGCGGCACAATCTGGCATTCAGACGCTGCCCGGGTCTGAGGTTGAACCTGAGCGCGCGCGAAGCGCGCGCGATGGCTTTATACATACATTTATATATATATATATATATATATATATAGAGATGTGTGTGTACACATATACATATACATATACATATAAACATTTCTATATATATGTATACACAGAAAAAGAAATAAATATAGAGAAACATGGGCAGGGGGTCCCAGGCCCTCCAGAGTGCACTGATTCATCTTCCGGCCGTCTCGAGCCCGGCGGGGGGGCGCCCAAAAACGTCAAGGTGGCCTAGAGACGTCCAAGAGACCGCACAAGAGCGCGGCCTCGCAGGTGGCTTCCCCTCCTCCTCCTCCTCCTCCGCCTCCTCCTCCGCCTCCTCCTCCTCCGCCTCCTCCTCCTCCTCCGCCTCCTCCGCCTCCTCCTCCTGGAGCGCCAAGATGGCCCAAGAGCGCTCCAAGAGAGCCCAAGACCGCACAAAAGCGTTTCAAAATTGGTCCAGCATGGCTTGAAGGCAGCCAAAGAGGGCTTCAGGACGGCCAATATGCTCTCAAAAGGGCTCCCACGAGGCACTCAGGAGGCGAAACAAGTAGGTTTGTCTATGGTGTTTGAAGGTTTTTCGTGTTCTCGCTGTTTCGTGCTTCCGACGGTCCAAGACAGCCCACGAGGCCCCAGAAATCAGCTCAACACGGCCCAAGATGCACCCAAAGAGGGCGCCACGACGGCGCAAGAGAGCCCTGAAGGGGCCCAAAAAGACGCCCCACGAGCACCCCAAACGGCCCCCAAGAAGCCTCCAAAATTGCCGTCAAGTGGCCCCCTGGAAGCCTCCCACGAATCCCAAATGAATTTCCAGGGGGCCTCTAGCCCACAACCCCGGCACGGTGGCGGGATGGGCCGAAGGCCGCTATCGAGAACGTGAACCGAGAACCCGAGATCTTCGCCCCAGGAGACCCCCAGGAGGGGTCAAGAGGTCCCCAAGAAGCTTGGCGACAGATCACCAGTCGACCGGTCGATGAGAGCGGAGGAGGAGGCATGAGGAAGAGGCGGGAGGCAACAGAGATTGTTGACTTCATCATTCATGACCACCTTGTTGTCTCAATGCGGTCAGCACTCGACCAGCTAGAAGCTAAGCGCGCGCGATGGTTCTAGTCTTAGTAGACCCCATCGGCGTGCTCGCGGATCTTCGCCGCGTCGATCCAAGAGGCCCCCAGCTCAAGAAAACAGGGGAGTGCGGGGAAGGGAGGGACAGCGGAAGAGGAGGAAGGAGAAAGCGGAGGAGGTGAGGGGTAAGTAATTGACGCTGCTCTTCGGCGCGCCAAGACAGCGCCCTGGCGCGCACCATAGCAAGTTCTGGTGTTCGAGAATGGCGCGCGAGGTTGCGCGGCGGGGCAACCTATGTACAGGCCCCTTGCTGTTGAGAAGGCGAGCTCGCGAAGGGCATGGGCCAGGCTGACGATTTCAAAGTGAAGCCGAGGCTGCAAAAAAACAATGCTTGGAGGGCAATTGCTGCACCGGCGGTGCTTTCGGATCCTGGCCGCCTGGAGGGCACGTGTTTCTCATCCGTGCAGTTGTGGTGGCCAGGGAGACCCTCTAGGGGGGGCGCTCCGTAGCAAGTATTGCAGGCAGTTCGCGCATTACTACTACCGTGATTGTCGGAGTAGTTTCCCTTTCCCTGGACTTCTTTTCTGGTCAGGGAAGCGAGCTTGGACCTCGCCACAGCGGACCAGGCAGTCCGTATCTTATCGTTGTCATTTGGGAAACCGGTTTCAGTATACATCGACAGTTGCGTTCTTGCATCGTGCCATGTACCCTAATCGATCTGGAGTAATAAAACATGTTGCTGAAGAGGGAGAGAAAGGAGGAGGAACGGGGGCCCTGGGCAGGCGGACCTCTCCGAGCCTCAAGCCGCTGACGATGACGACGACGTCGACGACGACGACGACGACGACGACAGCAGCGACAGCAGCGACAGCGACGATTCGATGCGGCCCGATGTCTACCTGGCGCTGTTGTGCAACCTAGCTCGGCCGACCCGATCAATTCTGACCCCGTGCCGATGCGGCCCGATTATTGGAGGGGAGGAGGACAACAAGAAACGAGGACGGGGGGAAGGAGGGAGGAAGACAGGGGGAAGGGGGATTGGCAGGCCCCCCTCTCCAAGCCTCTGGCCATTGACGACGACGACGAAGACGACGACGAAGCCGCGACCTGACGGCGCATCGGCTGAAAATAGAAGGCCGAAGACGCACCTTTGCAATGGCATGCTTGGAAAAAACTATGAAGAAATCGAGCCAACGCAGAAACTCGGAAACTGTGCACCCGACCCTTCGTTCCGGCGCCTCGCAAGGGTGAGTTGCCCGCTTCCTAAATCGAAGCGCTCCATCGCCAAATGAGGCGGCGGTGGCTGCAAGTTTCGGGGGGCACTTTCCCCGATCCGTGGGCCTGGCGCCCACGCATCCCTTATCCTGTCTTGAGTGAGCCAGATCAAAAGAGGCAAAGTATGCGCCGCCCTCAAAATCCGTTTCTTCTTTCCTCCCCGCGAGTAGGGTTGGAGGCTCTTTTCTGAGGTTCTGGTGGCCGCTAGCGCAGCCAGAGCGCTAATTGTCATCGGCCACGAGGCTCGGCGCGATGGCGCCCAAGCCTGTCTACCTGCGTGCGAGGGGCCATCGAACGGCCCGCTTCACCAGAGCCCCTCAGGGCCTCCCGATCAACGTAAGACAATCAAGCCGGACGGTGTATGGTGCAAGCATGTTGTCAGTCTAGGGCTCACCTTTCGCCCCCTGCGGGACTCTTCTGAGCCGAATTGGTTACTGCACGCTCGGAGGTGGAAAGGAATTGGCCGTTTTCGGTTCGCGAGAGGGCGTCGCGGCCGTCATTTTTGCGGGTCCAGGTCCGTCGGTTTCGGTCCCAGGCCGTTTTCTCTAAGGGGAGGTCTACTAAAGGGAGGTTTGCCCACCGCCGAAACGTGTGCACGCAAAGGCATGGAAGCACGAGCAATCGCAGGACCTCAACGTGCTCGAGTTCAGGCTCGCGGACCGCGAGCGGGCCGCCGCTGCACTGGAGCGGGCCGCCGGCGAGCGCGGGGCCCAGCGCCGCGGGTCGCCGCCGCTCCGTCCGAGGATCGGGCGCTCGAGGATCAACGTCAGGGGCCTGAGGGGCAACGCTCGGGGGTTGCTCGAGGCGCAAGGTCTTCGGACAGTTTCGTCGATTCTCTGCGGTCTTCCAGCCCCAGGGGACATTCCAGCAGCTGCGGCTGGTCGAGAGGGAGGTGCCCAGAGCATCCCGAAGGACCGCCGCATAGCCGAGCTATGACCCAAAAGCCAGGGGGTAACGATAAGAGGGATACGCTCGAGGGTACGCATCGACCCATCGCCCCTTGGTCGTCGACAGAGGCCCGATAGCCCACCCCGCCCAGGAACGGGCAGATTCGCAGTCGGGGGCACATCGTTGATCTATCGGCGGTATATCGCCAATCCAAGGTCGATGTTTGAGCCCCCTTCGAGGCGAGGGTCGGCTGCACGTTAGAGTGACCCTTGAATTCGCGGCCGGAGCCCCCCCTTGGGGCGGGGAGGGCCATTCCGTGGCCTGCGATGTTCAAGGTGCTTGTTTTACGCTTTTCGCCTTTTTGGAGGCCTCTGGGGGCTTCGCGTCGCCATGTCTGGATCCGCTTCGAACTCCTAGTCAGAGCGCACCCTGGAGCAGGTCTGGGGGGCGGTTTTTGACCCCTGACTGCGGATCGAGGATCGAGCATCTAGGCTTTTTGGCTGCTCTGGAGCCTCCGGGGGGCGCCCTCGTGGCCACAGGTCGTCGCCGCCGGCCGCCGCCGCTCGCAGTGTCTCGCCCCCGATCCCAGAGCCCCCCGCCCAAAAAATGACGGTCAGGAGCGGCCGTTTCGCGCGTCGTGTCTCCACCATTCCTCGGCGCGGCACGCTAACCCCAAAAGCGTCAACGTCCCGAGCTGCTCCCGAGCCTCCCGCCACGCGGAGCGGAGCGACACGCCACCCGCGTGCAAGGCATAGCGCGTCGCCGGCCCCGCCGCTGCGACACGCTGAGCAGGAGTTCCGCACCGCAGCCGTGTAGACCCGAACGGGAGCTCTGGGCTGCAGTTCTGGGGTTCTGTCCGGACGCGCCCACCTGTCCAGGATGGACGGCCCCCCCCGTCCATCTCCGAGCTGGACCCCGAATCGTTCGGCCTGGCGACAGGCCGGGGATTGCGGCACCAAACTTCTTGCCAGGAGCCGCCGTCGCCGCCGCCGCCGCGCTCGAGGATCGAGGATCTAGGACCGAGCTGTTGTTTTGCTCGAGGACCTAGGATCCGGCTTCAAGCCTTGGTTTGTCGGTTTGCGGAGCCTCGGGAGGCGACCCGGCGGGCCACAGGCCGCCGCCGCCGCCAGTCGCCGCCGCCGCTTCGCTCAGGGATCAAGGCTCGAGGTTCCTTGGCCCTGCTCGCGCCGCGAAGCAGTCACGCCGGAGGCCTTCTCCACGAGGCCTGGCCTCTGCAGACCCTTGCCAGGCCCTGGGGCCGTCGACACAACGGCTCGGCATGAGGAGGAGGAGGAGGAGGAGGAGGAGGAGGAGGACGACGAGGACGACGAGGACGACGAGGACGAGGACGAGGAGGAGGGCGGTGGCCAGACTCCTGAGGGCCCGCGCCGTGACAAAGTCGCGGCGTCGGAGGTGTCAGGGATCGAGGATCCAGGTCTTTGGATTAGCTGGTTGGGGGCCTCGGGGAGGGCGTCCTCGTGGCTGCGGGTGGATCACCCTCGAAGTTCTGGCCGGAGCGCCCCCGGGCAGGGCTGCGAGTCGGCCGCCGTCGCCTTCGCCGCTCGGGTGTCGCCACCACCGCCGCCGTCGCACCGCGCTCCCCGTCGCACCGTCCTCACCGCCGTCGCCGTCGCCAGGAAGCAGACGTAGGTTTTGGTTCCGCCCCAGATCCGGACCCTTTAAGCAGCGGCGAAGCGCGTCCTGGCTCGCCTATAGCAGGAAGGGTCCGGTTCGGGCCGGTTCGGCGGCGGGCCGATTCGGTTGCACCAGTTCGGTTTTCGGCGCCGGTCCGGTTTGAGCCGGTCCGGTTTGGCGAGTCCGGTCGGTTCTGCCGGTTCGGGTCGGGCGGCAGTCTGGTTTTGGGCGGTTCGGTTCGGGGGTCGTCGACCTCCGGGGGGGTCGTCGACCCTCGGGGGGGTCGTCGACCGGCGGGGGGGGGATCGCCGTTGAACAAAAAGCGAGGAGGAGGCCAGCGCCACCCCCCCCGTGGCCCCGGCCACCCCCCCCGTGGCTGGGGCCACCCCCCCCGTGGCCGAGGCCACCCACCCCGTGGGAGCCTCCTCCGAGGGAGCCTCCGAGGGAGCCCCGAGGGGCCCGCAAGGGAGGGGGCACGGGGGGGGGTTGCCCCGGCCACGGGGGGGGTGGCCCCGGCCACAGGGGGTGGCCCCGGCCACGGGGGGGGTGGTTTCGGCCACGGGGGGGGTGGCCGGGGCCACGGAGGGGGGGTGGCCCTGGCCACGGGGGGGGGGGCCCCGGCCACAGGGGGGGTAGCCCCGGCCACTGGAGGGGTGGCGGGTGGACTGCTGGTGGGGTGGTTCCCGCGGGAACCCGGGTACCCCGGAGGCGGCCCCCTGCCCTCGCGCGGGGGGGCCGCCGATGGGGCCCGCCCTCCCGCGGTCCGCCGCGCCCGACCCCTCCCCGCCCCCTCCCGGTCGTCGTCGTCGTCGTCGTCGTCGTCGTCGTCGCCGCCGCCGCCGCCGTCGTCGTCGTCGCCGTCGCCGTCGCGTCGCGCGCGGCGCCCGCCAGGGGAGGAGGAGGAGGAGGAGGCGGAGGAGGAGGGAGGAGGAGGAAGGACGGAGGAGGAGGAGGAGGAGGAGGAGGAGGAAGGGAGGAGGAGGAGGTAGGACGGAGGAGGAAGCGGAGGAGGAGGAGAAGGAGGAGGAAGAAGGAGGGAGGAGGCGGAGGAGGAGGAAGAGGACCCCGAGGGTCTTCGAGGGTTCCGCGGGTCTCCAAGGAGTCCGAGGGTGTCCAAGGATTTGCCTGGGGGGCCGGTTCGGTTCCAGCCGGTTCGGTTTGGGCGTCCGGGCCGGTTTCGCCTCGCCAGTTCGGTTCGACGCGGCCGGTCCGGTTCTGACCGGTTCGGTTTGGAGTCCGGTTCGCGCGGTTTGGTTCGTTCGGCCGCCGGTTCCCGGTTACCAGTTCGGTTCAGACCCTTCCTGCTATAGCCCTACCAAACAATGTTCTGAGAACCTTTTGTGGCTTCCACGAAATGTTCTTAGAACATTTCTGGCGGAGTCTGTCTTGTTTTTGTTATTTGAACATTTTTGGGTTCTAAGAACATTTCGTGGTAGGACTATAGGAATGCCAGGACGGTCGGTCCCTGCTCAAGACCCTGGGACGTCCCGAGAGGCCCCTGGACGGCTCTGGGGGGGGGGTCCGCAGGCCCACATTCCAAAGAGGCATACCAGAAATTGGCCACCAACATTTTCAGCCGCGGACCTGGCGCTCGCACAAGATCGAAGTAGCTAGATCCGGGGAAACGTAAGACTCGAGTACGCCGGAACTCAAGTTTGCCGACGCTCTTTGACGAGCGCGTCCTGGGTTTTGACGGTGCAGTTGTCGTGGCATGTGTGCAGCGGGAGCTCGCGTCAAATTTCAGATTGGGTCTCGTCATTTTTTTATGATGGCCCCGTGAGGCCAACCAGAATCCCCCGAACCCGAGTCTTGCGTCTCCCCGATACATGGGGCTGCCAAAGACAACTTGGCACCACGGAGCCGGCGCCCAGGAAAGAGGACGCAATTTACCACAAAGGTGCAGGCCCAAACATCTGGCGCATCGATTTCCGTGCGTGGGCCCCCAGATTCACCCTGGACCGGCTTTTCATCCCGCAGCGTTTGCTCACGGTCCCGGGGCCCGAGATCGGCTTCAAGAGAGGCAGGAGTCAAGATTGCCGCCTGGAGTTGTTCGGTGCGACGGACATCTGCGAAGGGGCCCAGGAACACACAAATAAATGCACACAAATCCCGGGATTCTTTGTATTTCCCATATTTTCTTGATTTTCGTCTCCCCCCCCGCTTCCCATATGTTTTCATATGTGCTTGGAGGCCGACGTGTAATTGTGTCTGTGTGTGTGTTCTTCCCCTCCTGAGTCTGGGGAGACCTCCCTCCTCGACATCCGAGGGCCCATGGCAAGACTTGGCAGCGGCGGCTGCTGCAGGAGGCGGGCGGGGGAGGGCGGCGAGGAGGGGGAGGAGGGGGAGGGGGAGGAGGAGGAGAGAGGGGGGAGGAGGAGGAGGAGGAGGGGAGGAGGGGAGGAGGAGGGGGAGGAGGAGGAGGAGGAGGGAGGAGAGGAGGAGGAGGAGGAGGAGGAGGAGGAGGAGGAGGAGGAGCGGGACCCGGTGCCCGCGCCGAGGCGCGAGGCAGCGTGCAGCGGCCTCGGCGGCGAGCTGCGCGGCAGGGAGCAGCTGCTGGAGGCGCGCGAGGCGCGGCAGGGCGATTCGCTCTTGCGGTCAGGAAGTGCTCGTGCCCCTGGTGCTCCTCCTCCTCCTACTCCTCCTGCTCCTCCTCCCCCTCCTCCTCCTCCTCCTCCTCCTCCCCCTCCTCCTCCTCTCCTCCTCCGTCCTCCTCCTCCGTCCTTCCTCCTCCTCCTCCTCCTCCTCCTCCTCCTCCTCCTCCTCCTCCTCCTCCTCCTCCTCCTCTGGGCGGCGAGCGAGGGGGGGAGGTGGGCAGGAGAAGGAGCGCGCGAGGCGCGCGGACTCGGCGTGTCGCGCCGCTGGCTCTGGCCCACCACGCTTCGGCGCGACACGCTGGCCGCTTCCTGGTCCCGAGCGTCAGCGTCCCGAGCCTCCCGCCCCGCGGGGCGGAGCGAAGCGTTGTCCGCTCGCAGGGCACAGCAGGCCGCTGGGGCCATCGCCGCGGCACGCCGAGCAACAAAAGCGCGTGGCCGCAGATGGGCTGCGCGCAGTGATTAAAGGCAGTCGCGGCAGCGATAGAACGACAGGGAGGGAGGAGGGAGAGAGGAAGGGGAGGGAAGGAACAGTGGGGAGATGAGGGATAATCGCGGGCGGGAGCCATATCCATGTCCACGGCCTCGCGGTCCGGACACCTCGGCCGCCACCCCGTGGATGCAGGGCGGTTTTGCGCGGATGC